TTTTGTGAAATTCTGGAAGTATTTATTACAAGTAGGTACTTTGTTCTTTTTCTGTAATTTCAGAGGTAATAACATAAGTAAAGAGACTTCAGATTTGTATACCCAATGACTTACTTGACATCCCACTTAGGTGTCAGATAGGCATATGAAAACTGACAGTCCAGGGACAACTTCTGATTCCACCCGTCCTGATCTGCTCCTCCCTCAGCATTCCCCTTCACAGTAATAGAAACTCTGTACTTCTAGTTACTCAGACCAAAAACATTGGAGATTCTTTCCTGAGTTCTCTTTTTCTCTCACACCTTATATCCAATCCAACAGCAAATACTGAAGCCCCCTTCCCGCCAATGCCCCTTTTTATGCCACCCCAGTGTATGATCACCTCAGTTTAAGTCACCACCATCTCTAGTCTAAATTATTCACTTGCCTCCTTACTGGTCTCTCTACTTCCATTCCATTTGCTCCCACTCTCCCCTCCCCTTGTATATTCTATTCTCAACACAGCAGATAGAGTGGTCTTCCAAAACATAAGCCAGATCATGTCACTCTTCTCAAAACCCTCAATGGATTTCCATTTCAATCAAAATGAAGTTCTTACATCAATCTGCAAAACTTTATCTGAGCTGGCTCACCACTGCCTCTCTGACCTCATGTTATACCACCTTATACCCTTTTCTTGCCCATTCATAATGCTTTCCTTGATTTTCTTCAAAAAGACTAAGCATGTACCTGCCTTAGTTGCTCTTCTCTCTGTCTAGAACTCTCTTCTTTCAGATATCCATATGGCTTTGTCTCTCACTCCTGCTTAAATGTCATCAGTGACCCCTTCCCAACTGTGTTGTTGTGGTTAGGTGCCGTTGAGGTGGTTCCAATTCATAACGATCCTAATGTACACTATAAAAAATTTATGTGCCACTTCCAGCAACATGGCGCTCTAGGCAGAAGCACCATGCCATCCTTCCACAGGAAAGATCCAAAAAACTAAGCCAAACAGAGAAAACAGCAATCCTGAAACCCTAAATATAAAATGAAGAGATAAAGAACTCAGCCAAGCACCAAATGGAATAAGAAACTGACAGAGAACAGAGATCGAGGAGACATACATGCAGAGGTCCCCTATCAGCTAATGTAGCATGAATCCGCCATCTTGGACTCCTATCAGTTACCAGTAAATAGAGGGTACGAGAAAGCAGCTTCACGGAGCATCCAG